GAGAGAAGAGAGGGCGTCAGCGGGGACCGGGGTGCGGGCGGCCGGCACAGAGAGAGAAACAACAGCCTCACACACCCAAATCGGTTCCAATTGGCCTTGGCGGAGACTGAGACTAGAGCGGGCCAGGCCCGCCCGCCAGCGGCCAGAGCACTGCGCTTTAAGCAGCAGCAGCTCGGATGTCCTGGGCACCTCACGCGCAGGCTCTGTGACTCTCTGTTTATTTTATTTTATTTTTTATTTTATTTATTTATTTATTTATTTATTTATTTATTTTGGTCTTTTGTTTGTCTTAAGAAACCAAAAGGAACAGAAAGGAAAGGAAATCGAAAAGAAACAGAAAAAGAAAAAAAAAAACTACTGGTTTAAAGCTCTAAAAACAGATACAACAGCAGCATTTAAACAAACCTAACAACAATATCTTTTAGGGTTATTTTTTCTCTTTTTTTGCTTTTTTTTTTTTTTTTTTTTTTTTTTTGCTTTTGTTTTTAAAAAAGAAGATAGCATACCACGGAATTCAGGCAACTTACATCAACAAATAGGCCGTGTGATTTTAGCATGAAGAAAAAAATTACAAACAGAGCTGTGTAAGCGGGTTCTCCCGGAAAAAAAATAAGAAAAAACAACTTTTCCGTACAACGTTTTCTATCTGTTTGGTAACTCCCTCCCTCATTCTTCTCTCTCCCTGGACATCTTCCTCCTGAATCCTCTCTCTCCTCCCTCACTTTGCCCTCTTCCCCTTGTTAAACACAAAGCTAACATCTGCAGGCTGCCACCGAGGAACTGTTACCGTGTCATCCTGTCGGGGAAGGAGGGATCTGGGAAGAAAGGCTTGGGCCATCAGGTAGCAAGTGCTGTGTGGGAGAGAGGCCTTGGGGCAGGCTGGGCCTGAGAAGGGGCTTTAAAAGCCAATTGCAGGTTGGTCACAGAGGAGGAGCCATCGAGGGGATAGGTGAGGGCCCATGAGAAGGACAGAGGAGGAGTCAGACTATGGAGTAGGTGTCTGCCCTGCAGGACTCTGGGAGGGTGGTGAGGAGCCCTGACAATGTCAGGGACGTGGGAGGGATGGGGAGTGAGTGAGGGAATGGCCACCTGATTCCCGAGCTAAGCCCAGCTCCCCAACTTTCTCTTTCTTCGCCCTCCACCGCTGACACCCACTGACTGCCCCCCTCCCCCTCCCCAGAACCCCCATGGGCCGCCAGGACCTGGCCAGGGCTTGACTGCCTCTGGTCCTCTTATTATTGTTAAAACAATAATAAAACAACAGAAAGAAGAAGAAAGCAAAAAAAGAAAAGAAAATACATACACAGCCACCTGGGAGGGATGCACTTGCTAAAACAGGGCCCAGGGGAACTAGTGGGGAGGGCTTTGTGATGGGGTAAGTCTCCTCCTCTCTAGGTCTGATAACTGGAGTCCCCTGGGCAGAAACTGCAGTTCCCATCAGCCCCCAAAAGGAGAGAATTACAACTCCCATTGGTCTTTGGAAAGGTGTGGACCACAATTTTCATCAGCCCCTAGGTCAACAACTACAAATCCCATCAGCCTCCTGGGCCTCCTCTCAAACCAAATGGCTGAAACTCACTGACCTCAGATAGAAGAGAGCTGGAGAGGTTCATTCCTCTTGGGAGGAGATACCACTGGGCCTGGTGGGGGTAGTAGTTTTCCTCTGTGGCTCTCCCTCCAGCATGTCTTCCCACACCTGAGCACCTCTCCCTAGTCCCTGCAGGATATGCCCACAAGCCCCTCTACGCCTTTCAGGGTAAGCATTCGGGGACCTCCACTGCCAGGTCCTACTCACTGTAGGCCCCATGCAGCCAGGCCAGCCTGGTTCCATCTCCACATCTTGGCCCCTCTTCTCCCATTCTGCTCCTGGTGAACACCACTATCCACATTCCTCTGCCAACCCTTCCCATCACCAGCTTCAGCAACCTCACAGTCTCCCTTGGCCACATGGTCAGCCATAGCCAAGACCTTGCTATCAAACTGGAAACAGAGCAGAACTCCCAGGCTGCTCTTCTTCCCAGCAAGCTCCAGTTTCCGCCTGGGCCCCCAACGTTGAAACTGCAGGACACCCTCCCCTAGGCCACGGGATCCGCCACAGTGAAAAGCTGAGGCAAGAGTAGAGAGTGTCCAACTCCAGCTTCCAATGGATGCAGATGCTGAGGGTGGGCAGGACTGCCTAAGGTCAATAGGTGTCAGTATCAGCAGAGGTGAAAGAATGGATAATCCAGTCTCTTTTGTGGCTCTCAGAGGCCAAGGAAAGACCAGGGTTCATAAGATGCCAGGGAACCTTGAGTCAAGTCCATGCTTCTTGAAGGCTAGTAAGGCTCAACTCCTGGCTTAGATGATGACCAGAGAGGCTGCATACTTGTTCCGTCACTGAGTTCCTTGTGATTGTGGACAAGTTTTCTTTACCCCTGGACTGTAAAGCTAAGGTACTGGGCTCTAAGTCAGGATGAGGCCAAGGACTGGCTCTATGAGCCCTCTGGCCTATGGATAAGCATAATGTGTCCTTCTGTCCCCATCTGGGCCCCAGACCCCCAGAAAGACACCCTGATCCCTGGGTAAGGGGCAAACTCAGCTGACCACTTGTGGGAGAACTGGAAGCCCCTCAAGGGGCTCCCTCCTGGACCCCATTGTGTATACCCTCCTTCCTGCATCCCCTGCCATCTTGGGTCCTCCCTGCTGGCCCATACCACCTGCCACCTGCCTGACCTTTGTCTTCCAGTCAGAACCCCTTCCCCACTGATATCTCACTCATCCTCAGAGTCCAGCCAAACAACACCACTTCCAGGCAGACCCTATGTAGCAGACAACTCTGCCCAGTATTAGCAGACTCTGGTTATTTGCAACCCAGTCTCAGCACCTTTTGATCTCTCCAAGTAAGATAAGCAGTGCCTTCCCCCTTTATATCCCTGTTTTCATATCAGCTATCCCTGTCCACATATCGTATAGTCCTGCCATCACCAGATGCTTCCAGCGAGATGCTTCCAGAGGGATGCTTCAAAGCATACCCTGTTCACTCTCCCATGCTTACAATCAATAAATACTGGGTGCCTTTGGTGCCCTTTGTCTTTGTTGCCCACAGCAGCATAGATCATCCCCAAGACCCAGTTCCCTCTAATTTTCGTTTCTTTCTTTATTCTTATCAGCTTGTGTTGTAGTGCCTCACAGAAGACTGTAGATCCACTGCAGGAGTCTACAGTACTGTCCTCATTCCTGTCCCCTTTAACCACAGAGGATGCTCCCTACCTCTGGTGTCTCTGACACTATGTCCCTGTTCTGTCCTGGAAACATGGATTTGGGCTCACTGCCAAGCACCCAAAGGCCCACGTTCCATCTGTTGATGCCCCTAGCACCAGTGGCAGGCCTGGCACAGAGTTGGGATCATTATGCTTTCCCTAGGCAGGAAAGGATATTCCTCAGGCATTTCCTGTGAGCCTGGCCAGGCTTGGTATTTGAGAAAAGCATAGCAGCCCCTCTCACAGGCCAGAGCAGCTGAATTCTGCACTCCACTCCCTCTGCCCTCTTGGGCAGCAGAGACAGAGAACTCAGCCTGGCAGGTGTACCTCCATTCTCTGCCAGCCCAACTTCCTTAGACTGAACCACCGGCTACTCTTGGGGACTCCACAGTCAAAGTTTGCTCTAAACTGCCTTATGACCCTCAAGCTGCTGGCCATAGCTTGGGCCCCAGTGGAATGCCAGGCCCAGAACACAGGATCAGACCTGGAGGTCCGTGCTGGGGACATGTCCTGCCCTAGAGTGCTCACCAGGCTGATCATGGAATAGGCTTTGTCTACCAGTCCGCACCCCCCCCAGCAAAGTGATGGCATGTGGTATCTTTGATTTTAATCACAGACAAGTCCTGCCCACCTCCCTCCCAACTCTTTGGTCCTAACTCCCCCTCCCCCAGGTCCCAGAGCTTCCCAGGCTCCACATCTGAGATTCAGCTTCTCTGGGATTCTCCTGACCCTTCTCTGCCCAAGGCTCTGGGGGCACATCAGAGATGTCATGACTGCCCCGACTCTCAGATCACTGTGCCTTCCCCTCAGTGCCCTCTACATGGCAGTCTGTGCCTTCCACACTTCTTTCCTGTGTCCTGAACCCCACTCCCTTCCCACCCTCCTTCAGCCCAGCCTGGGCTCAGGTGCAGTCAAGTCATGTGCATGGCAGGCTTTCCTGGGCCTTCCTGGGATAGTACACTGGTCCAGGAAGATGAGAGTACCCTATGTGCCTTGGTGATGAGCCAGCAAGGAGGAGAGAACCCATCAGACTCCTCCCATTGGAGTTTCATTAGAGGGGTGCACTCATGATGATGACTCGGTGCGCTGGTGACCTTAGGTGCACCTAGAACAAGGGCAAATCCTGAGACGTATGCCCT